TCTTATCATTAGAGACTAGCCTACTAACAACTATCATGAACAAATCAAATACGTTTACATGATTTTTTATTTGAAATGTAAACAAATCAGCATTATAACTTTGCAGAGTATGGGGTATGGGCTAGAATATGAAAAATGAAGATCATTTAAAAGGTCTAATATTTTCACTACGTTGACCAGCACTACAGTGTCTGGAAAAAATGAGTTTAACACGGAAATAATAAAGGCATAGTTACTTTTTTGTCCACTCTTTTAATTTTTGGTCTAATATCATTGTCGTTTTAACACTGGTCGTCCACACCTCAGAGCTGAAAAAGACTCAAGAAATGGGCGTGTAAAGCTGTGGGAAAGTGGGAGTGTAGAGGGTGGGAAGACGGGAGAAAACAACAAATAAAACACAGAACTAAAACACACTCATTATACAGACAAATGCATATTAAAATATGAGCAGAGGAGGAAAAAAAAAAACAGAGTTAGGGGCCACCTAGATTTTATAAAACATAACCCAATGATAAGTAACTCAAGAAATCTTATCATTAGAGACTAGCCTACTAACAACTATCATGAACAAATCAAATACGTTTACATTATTTTTTATTTGAAATGTAAACAAATCAGCATTATAACTTTGCAGAGTATGGGGTATGGGCTAGAATATGAAAAATGAAGATCATTTAAAAGGTCTAATATTTTCACTACGTTGACCAGCACTACAGTGTCTGGAAAAAATGACACAGTTTAACACGGAAATAATAAAGGCATAGTTACTTTTTTGTCCACTCTTTGAATTTTTGGTCTAATATCATTGTTAGCCATGTATCACAATAATCGGTCTTGTCATCGCGTTCATGATCAGACGTATACCGCTGTATCAGTCCTTATTTTGCAAATATTTCATTTGACAAAGACATGATGAAATGTGTGCGCATGATACGCGGTGCTGGTTCATGTTTGGAGGACGAGAGAATATGTCCACAAAAGCTTGAAACACGCTTGCTCCGGTGGTCCGGAGAACTTATGAACTGCGCTGCGAGTGTTGTTAAATTCATCGCGGCGTTCCGCGCAGAAAGCGCTCTCTCATGAGCGTGTTGTTACCAAGCGCCAACCTCCCGCTCTCTCTCCTGAAGCCAACAAGGAAGTGACTTAAACTGTAATTCATCAACTGGCCGCTAGAGGCGGGCTGCAAACGGGAGTCAATCCCATAGACTCCCCATGTTAAAATGCCCAACTTTACAGCAGAAAAAAACGTTTACGGCCTGGTTCAAAAAATTATTTTGGTCTATATAGCTAATTTTGCCCTTCATGACAACTGTGAGGGGGGTGCATTTTTTTTATAACTCATCCGTTTAAATTATATTAAGCCTTAAAGTTCTGCATAATTAAGGGCGTGGCCACTTGAGTGACAGGTGGATTGCCGCTGCTGTCACCACCGTCGAGCTAGGTGGGCGTGGTTTCAGCAACCAGCTCCCGCCTCTTTGCCCATTTTCGATTATCCGGGAGTGACGCGCTGCCAAGATGGCAACGGCTGGCTCCGCCCACTTTTGAGCTTCAAAAACCTCTTCAGGAACCTACGGGTGACGTCACGGACACTACGTCCATGTTTTTATACAGTCTATGGTTGTTACCTATTAAATATTGTTACGGTTAAATATTCTCATGAATAAATGCTTTTTTTTTATATTTAAAAAAACAGATGAAAATATACAAACACATTCAGGAGAACATTAACAAGTATTAAAAGAGACATTTGTATGTAACATCAAAGTAAGAAGTAAGAATAATCATATACATGCACACATACTGTATACATACGAAGTGGAAAAGTAAGACACACAATAAAGGGGTAAGTACCCTACAATAAGGAAACAGAGATAGAAAACTAAAATGAAACGGGTAAAAAAAAAAAAAAAACACCAATGAAAGAAATTTCACAAATGAACAGTTCAAGGTAATAGAATCATACTGTTAGCTAACATGAATTAATTTCAAGCAGAAGCTCATTAAAGCGATTATTACAAGTATGATCATAATGATTACAATATAGAGAAAATTTGGCAGCTGTGCATATCGATTCAAGCTGGCGTCATCCGGGGTCCTCGCAGGGGTCAGCATCATCTCTTCAAAGGTGTTGGGTCATCTGAAGTCTTTCTATGAGGCTGGATCCATGCTGGAGCTGGTGTCATCTCTAGATACCTCGAGATGGGCATCCCGTGGTAGGAACAGAAAGGCAGATGGAAAAGTAGCTGCTGTTCATAACGTTTCAAGCTAAAAATATGTTTGTGACTTTTATCTGCTCTAACTGGGAACAAGGGTGAGATTGAGGTTGAGACCATTTAGTGCCTTATAGGTCAGTAGCAATATTTTGAAATCAGTACGGAACTTAATATGTAACCAGTGTAGAGATGATAAAATTGGGGTAATATGATCATATTTTTTTGACCTGGTAAGAACTCTAGCAGCTGCATTTTGGACTAACTGTAGCTTGTTTATTGAAGATGCAGGACAACCAGCTATAGTAGTGCATTACAGTAATCTAGTCGAGAGGTCATAAATGCATGAACTAGCTTTCTGCGTCAGAAACAGATAACATGTTCCGTAGCTTAGCAATGTTTCTGAGGTGGAAGAAGACTGTTTTTAATCTCCAGCCACAGCAGCCAATCAGCACTCTGAATTAACACATATATGTCACTTTTCATGACGTTGGTTCAACTTCGCTTTTTAAACTGTAAGAACGAAATTACTCCAAAAAAATGAAAATAACCACTTTTCCCTTAACAATAAACATAATGTGTGCTATAGCCTGTACATATCTGTTGACATCTCAAAAAATGTGTTTTAGTGTTTCATGACCCTTTAAGGTAGTTAAAAGTTTACAAATTTTGCCTTAACTTTAAACTGCTTTTTTCCCCATTGCAGTTTTTTCCCCCATGCCATCTCCATCTTAAACAGATAACACCGAAATGATTACCTGTTTTCTGTAATTCATTTCTCCATTTCCAGCAATTGCCTGTCTTTCAAGTATTGTGGTGATATATGCATATTTTTATTTATACAACTGTACAGTAAATACTGCACAAATCTGTACATAAATCTTCTGTTTAGGGCTGAACGATTTTGGAAAATAATCTAATTGCGATTTTCTTTTACCAATATTGCGATTGCGATTTAATATGCAATTATTTTTTTTAAAGCTCTTTATGTTCTGTATTATTCAAAAAAGACAAGCTATAAATCATTGTATAGTATGACCAACACACTATTAGATAGATTAAACATAAATGTTCTTTTCTGTAGGCCAGGCCTATATGTTACGATGAAATTAGGTGATGCATGAATTGATATGAATGACATTTTTATTTAACAACTACAATCACAGTATATTGACTGATTTGTTGAACTTCCAACCTTGTAAGCATGTAATAATTATGTTTAAATAAGCCTGGTGTAAACATTAATATGAAAGTCAGTAACAAATCACACAAACTAAAGTAGATTGCAGAAATATAAAAACAAATCTGTTGCTTTACCACACTACTTTAGGTAATTCAAAGTCACTGTAATAAACATATGTAAACATGTGGACTGCACTAAACACTGTCTGTTAACTTTAGACCAGTGGTTCTCAAACTTTTTTGGTCGTGCCCCCCTTTAAACCTATAAAAAAATCTGCCCCCTCCCCTTTCCCGAATAGCCATCGCACCTTAGACTACCAAATAATTTCACTAAATATTATGAAAAATGTATGCTTTTTTTAATTTAAAAAACCTACAGGGAAAAAAAACACCTGCATCACTTGAAACATTGAAAAATAGCATAGAGAGAATAACTGTTATTATTATTATTCTCTCTTTTATTTATTTATTTTTTGTGGGTTTCATGCTGTCCGCTAAGGCATAGGACACACACAGGTTTTCCTCCTCACCAACGACATTAAACACCGTGTCTACACAGGACGTGAGAGCGGCAAAATACAGTAGAACCATTATAATCAGTGACGCTGTGTACACTGGATGCGACGCGACAAGACAAAACCCGACATTAAACTGATGCCTTGTTCTATTTATGTCGTACTGACACAAAGTTAAAATGATTTGCAACGGTCTTCATCTATGGCTTTTCTCGTCCCTTTCACAAACCGATCCATCTCCCATTCTAAGTTACGTCCTTTGGCTGTTTACTGTTTTATTTATTTTCTTTTTCTGCTGATGGCCCGCGCTCGACTTGAAGCAGCGCTGCTTAGACCGATGGGTGTGTGTCATCAAAGTACTGTGAGAGCTATAAGAGAGTGCGGACGTCTCCTTATGCTTTCTCTCGCCGTACTTTGATGTCATACACCGATCGATCTTCAAGTTGAACACACCTCTTTACTCTCGCGTGTCACGTGACCGGGTGTAATCGCAGCCTCTGCGATTGAAAAATTGCGTTATTTCATATCGCGATATTATCGCAAATGCAATTAATAGTTCAGCCCTACTTCTGTTCCAGACTTTACCACATTATTATTATTAATTTTTTTTTTCTTTAGTCTTACTTATTTAATTGTTCTTTCTGTTCTCATGCCATATGTATGTATGTATGTATGTATGTACCAAGATCTTCTAAAAAACCACAACAAATTCCTTGTGTGTTTGCACACACTTGGCTAATAAAGCTAATTCTGATTCTGATTCATTTATTCTTCCTTAATGGTTTGAGAATAGCTGTCATTGCCAAAGTTGTTTGAGAAAAAATTTTGATTTTTTATTTATTTAACAGTTAAAAGCCTCCAAGTTAATTTCAGTTGTGTTTTTCTTCACATGTAATTACCAATGCAGACATCATCAAAAGTCCGTCACAATTACACTTTGTACCACATTATACAAAAATCCACGTGAAGGTTGACCAAGGCCATGATCAGATCTTTGTGTTTTAATAGATTAAGCATTGCCTGAATAGGTAACCTTTTCAACATCTCAAGTTGTCAAAAGTGTTTGCGTTGATCTTGCTTGTTCTTTTCTCAGCTGCAGTTTTGTAAGTCGTCGACTCAATGAGCTGACAGGCCATAACCCCCTATGGAAGAGACTTTGTCAGAAGCACTGGCTCCTTACAGAGTAAGCTCACTCCTCATGCCCTCAGAAGCATTTGGTTCATTTATGGCATATGCGTTTTTCTGTCCAATGTTTTTTTTTTGTTACATTTTTAGATTTGTTGTAATCAAAATATATTGTTGATGACAAATTTTTTTTTTTTTCGCATTCAGGGCAGACAAAAACCACAGAGGCCTGGCATGGAAGGAGCTGTTTCGGGAGTATTATGCTGATCTGGGCCGTTATATTGACGATTACAGCACTCTCAAGAAAGCCTGGGATGATCTGAAGAACTACCTGAATCAGAAATGTCCCCGAATGATAGCTTCACTTAAAGGTCTGTCCACACTGTTACTCATCCAACCATATTTTGAAAACCTATGGGTCTTTTTTTTTCTTCATAATATGAGTGTTGTCCACTGAAGGTTTTGTTTCCTTTTCTCTGAAGAGGGAGTGAGGGAGGAAGAGCTAGACACCATTGAGGCCCAGATTGGCTGCAAACTCCCTAATGACTACCGTTGCTCCTATAGGATACACAATGGACAGAAACTTGTGGTCCCTGGGTAAGACTTCTGATAATATCCTTGATCATTTCAAAATCCTATTGAATTTCTTTCTTCTACTTTAGAAAAATACTTCAGAAAAATAAAGTATTTATTTAAATGCCTGTAACTGATTCGTGGCCTAATGGTTCGAGAGTCAGACTTGTAACCCTTAGGTCATGGGTTTGAGTCTCAGTACCGGCAGGAGTTGTAGGTGGGGGGAGTTTTGAGCGTGTACACGCAATATCTGAGCGAGAGCAGAGCCAATTCATAAAAGAACAATATTTAAAAGCACACGTCCAGCAGATGGATCACGTAACATTATGCGCTCTCGACATTATCATTAAGATCACACTATAGAAACCGCCTAAAATTAAATATAAAGAAGAGAAGAAAGCAGCCCTAGGCAGCTGCCTACACATGCCAGGATCCGCCACTGCCAGATGCAGTTAGAAATTTACTAAAAACAAGCCTATCGCAAGACTTCTGGTAGGGGGGGCACCTGGGGTGGCCAGCCAAATTTCAGGGTGGGCCGGTGCCACCCCTGGCCACCACGTAGACACGCCCTTGCTGGGCGCCACAGCAAAAATGGCTGCCCACTGCTCCGGGTGTGTGTTCACAGTGTGTGTGTTCACTACTCACTGCTCTCTGTGTGTGTGTGTGTGTGTGTGTGCACTTGGAAGGGTTAAATGCAGAGCACAAATTCCGAGTTTGGGACACCATAATTGGCCACACACACGTCACATCACTAACTGAGTTAAATAACATTTACTGTATACAAGCAAGTGGACAAACTTCCTTTAACGTAATCAGCCTCTGATCTTAAAAACTGCCATAGTATCTTATATTATCAATGAATGGGATCAGCGTACGAACAACAAACGGTATGAAATTACCAATAATCGCTGGGATCAGAGGCCCGTTTCAGAAAGGAGGTTAAGTGAAAACTCTGAGTATGTTAACCCTGAAATGAGGGAAACTCTGGGTTTTCAGTTTGAGAATGGAAAGTTTGTCAAACCCGAGAAAGCAGGGTATGTCAAGCCTGTTTCTGAAAGAGAGGTAACTTATACTCAAAGTCAGTTACCATGGTAACTTACACTGTGCAACTAATCTGGGGTGCGTTTCCCGTACAACGACGTAACTCACTGATTAACCATAGTACCATAGTACGATGCATTGTTGTGGAAACTAACTAGCCAGTCACGACTGTTTCCCGACCACGGTCGCATCTCCTTCGTTTGAACCACATTAGTTCAACAATTTAGGGCCGTTTTTAATGACGTCACACGCATGTGGTGGAGTAATAACTTCTGCTAATTAATTGATTCAAGATTTCTGAGATGCTGCTGTATTGAACATGGCACCTGATGACTAATTTACTATGTTTTGTTTCCTGTCATTTTGCTTTATTTGAAGTTTGATTCATCGTGGGTTTCCTCTTACGTCATACTCCAGGGTTCCCTTAGGCATTTATGCACATGCGCACTCTTCAAAAACGGCGCTTATTGAGGATGCGCTAAAATTTATCGATTAAAGTGTATATATATTTAAATTGAATTGAAGATATAGATTGTACTGCATGTTAGCTTGCTTATTGTGCCCAAAAGCAGAATTTATTTAAGTCCATATGTCTTACTAACAAGAAACTATGCTTCTAACCACAGGTCGAGAGCTGTAAGTAAGTTTACCTACCACGTAAGTTTGCGACGCTGTTTGCGAATGTTCGTTTGAACTGTGGTTTTGGGAAACATCGAATCGTTGAACTATGTTGGTAACGACAGAACTTGCGACCATAGTTTGCTAACAATGCTTTTGGGAAACGCACCCCAGGTCGAGAGCAGGTTTTCTTCATTAAACCCAGTTTCTTTCAGTCTCCTCCTCCTTTTTAAAGCGTAAGCGATGTTTAAATACCTCATTCATTCATTCATGCTGTAGAAAATGCATTTCTTGGTGAGTATATTGGGATCTAAATTAAGTGCATTTTAATTAAAACAAGAAAAATAATATTAATGCAAATGGAAACAAGATTGTTTTTCTTACCCCATTGGCAGATAATTAGCAAAATAAGTAAAATACACTTAAAAGACTAAATACCTTATGTCATTTTTCTTATGTAGAAAATGCATATTATGTAATTTTTCTTATGTAGAAAATGCATCTTGATTTAAGAATCTTTAGATATTTTGACTGGAAACAACAAGACAAAAATACTAAGTAAGAAAAGCATTTTTTGCAGTGCTGGCACATTCATTCATTGCACATATTTTCATCATGCAGACACTCTGAAAGTGACAAAAACGGCATGTCCCCTTATACTGAATCCTGTAGATGAGGAGGCTACATCAATTCATAGGGAATTACATTTACATTGGGAGAGGATTATTTTTTATTTTTTTTGCCATATCTGCATGCTTATTTATTTGAGCTGTACCATTTTTAAATGGTAGTTTTCTATATAACAAAAGGGATGCAGAGCACATTAGTAAGGCCGCTGTATGCAGAGGAAAGTGTGTCTCGCTCTAACGCTCTTTCTTATAATATTTGTGTAGTTTTCTGAGCACAAGCCCATCAAAAATGAAGCTGATTACTGTATGGTTAGAATGGTGACAGATTCCTTGTGATACTTTGCTAATATCCACACTGTCATTAAAGGGACGTTTCAGCCAAAAAAAACAAAAAAAAAACAAGTTAAATAAAAGAAATAGTTGACCCAAAAATAAAAATCCTGTCATCATTTACTAACCCTATACTTGTTCCAAACCTGTATGAGTTTCTTTCTTCTGCTGAAAACAAAAGGAAATTAGTAACAAAGCAGTTGATGGTAGCCATTGACTTCCATTGTATTTTTTTTTTCCATACTATGAAAGTCCATTGCTACTGATGTCACGTTTCTGTTGTGTTTTGGTTTGGTTTCTCTGCGTTCCAGAGGCCTGTTTCAGAAAGGAGGTTAAGTGAAAACTCTGAGTATGTTAACCCTGAAATGAGGGAAACTCTGGGTTTTCTGTTTCAGAATGGGAGGTTTGTCAAACCCGAGAAAGCAGGGTAAGTCAAGCCCGTTTCTGAAAGAGAAGTAACTTATACTCAGAGTCAGTCACCGTGGTAACTTACTCTATGAACCTAACCTGGTCGGGATCAGGTTTTCTTCGGTAAACCCAGAGTTTCTTACCGTCTCCTCCCCCTTTTTAAAGTGCAAGCGATGCTTAAATACCTCATTCATTCATTCAGGCTGCAAAAATGCTTTTCTTACTGAGCATTGTTTGTCTTATTTCAAGTACAAATATATAAAAATTCTTACGTTAAGATGTCATTTCTATAGATGAAAAATTATATAAGATATTTAACCTTGTTTCCTGAGGGAAACAAGTGCATTTAAGTGCATTTTAAGTGCATTTTACATAAAACATGTAAAATTGTCCGCCATAGGGTAAGAAACATAATCTTAATGCAAACGGAAACGGAAACAAGCATATTTTTAATTTCTTACCCCACTGGCACATAATTATAGCAAAATAAGAAAAATGCACTCAGATGATTTTTCCCCATGGAAACAAGACTAAATACCTTATGTCTTTTTAATGTAGAAAATGCATATTGATTTAAGCATATTTAGATATTTTGACTGGAAACAAGAAGACAAAAATTCTAAGTAAGAAAAACATTTTTTGTAGTGCATACATTCATTCATTGCACATATTTTCATCATGCAGACACTCTGAAAGTGACAAAAACGGCATGTCCCCTTATACTGAATCCTGTAGATGAGGAGGCTACATCAATTCATAGGGAATTACATTTACATTGGGAGAGGATTATTTTTTATTTTTTTTGCCATATCTGCATGCTTATTTATTTGAGCTGTACCATTTTTAAATGGTAGTTTTCTATATAACAAAAGGGATGCAGAGCACATTAGTAAGGCCGCTGTATGCAGAGGAAAGTGTGTCTCGCTCTAACGCTCTTTCTTATAATATTTGTGTAGTTTTCTGAGCACAAGCCCATCAAAAATGAAGCTGATTACTGTATGGAATGGAAGGATACCAGATGGACGGGTAGTTCGAGATATATGCCTTAACCACCACCACAGCTGTTAAATTTATTTGGTCATCTTTATTTCCTACAAATACAAAAGCAACAGTTATTCTTTTTCCTGTTTGATTTTAATATTATTCCAATACTTGGTATTGTGGCCATCTCCTCTTCATCTGTTCTTCATTATTTTTGCAAGCCTTCTTGCTGTTGGCTGAGTAGACGTCAAATGTTCATTTCATTTACTCTAATTAATAAATACAACAGTTTGGATTAGAGAACACTTAATTATGTGAAAAGAGCATTAGACTATGTGGAAAAACTAAAAAGCTACTGCGCACTGAAATAGACACTGAATTATATTTTTTAATATGTCAAATGCTTGTAAAGTTATGTAGCCTACACTCATGAACCTTTTATGCTTAAAGCTTTACCTTGATTGAATTATGTTTTTATGCTTCATGTTTAGCTGCTTTTTTTGTTCTTTGTTTTTTCTTTTGCCTGTAGGATACCATGAAAATTAATATTACTTCAATAATTTACCGTTCTGCCACTTTTTACCTTTGATATTATAACAGTGATTAAGAATTAAAATTACGTATTGACTCTGAAGTATGCAGATGTCTTTTTGTCAGGTGCTGTTGCCATGGTGATTCATAATTTCGGAGCTCCATTGATCATGACTTTTCATAGTCGTGGTGCACGGGCTAAACTCAAGAGTCAACCTACTCGGAGTCGATTGAACTAACTCAATCTCAGAGTTGGTTGAAACTCCTTATTGAAACAGGCCCCAGATCATATACGCACAATAGCGAATAGGACATTCCAGAATCACACAAGTTGGATCAAATGAAGATCCACCAATATGCTCCTCACACCAGAGTCCAATATAATTTTCAGTATCAATATCATAACATTTAGTTGTATCAATAGATGTGTTCGACTTGAAGCAACTCTGCAGAGACCAATCGGTGTATGACATCAAAATACCGTGAGAGCGATTCGAAAGCATAAGGAGACTTTCTTAAATTAGAAAATGTATCTGAACTGTAAATCTTGTTTTTTACAGTCATTTTACAGTTTAATATAATTATCATTAGACATTTAATATGTTACCATAGACATTGCCCTACCACCCTCATGTGGTATTAATTTTATTTGTGCAGGTCTTAAAAAGGGTATTTAAAAGTCTTAAATTTGGGCTTAAAAATCCTGCAGATCCCCTTTAAAATGGCAATTAACCTAGACATTTAATATGTTACCATAGACATTGCCCTACCACCCTCATGTGGTATTAATTTTATTTGTGCAGGTCTTAAAAAGGGTATTTAAAAGTCTTAAATTTGGGCTTAAAATCCTGCAGATCCCCTTTAAAATGGCAATTAACCTTTCACATGATCATAACTGATCTTTGCACTGCCTCCCCTCCACAGGCTGATGGGCAGCATGGCTTTGTCCAATCACTATCGCTCAGAGGACCTGTTGGATATTGAGACAGCAGCGGGGGGATTTCAACAGAGGAAGGGAATGCGGCAGTGTCTTCCACTCACATTTTGTTTCCACACTGGCCTCAGCCAGTACATGGCCTTGGAGAGCACAGAGGGACGAACACGCAGTGAAATCTTCTATCAATGCCCGGTTAGATCACCGCCCTCAGACCACAACAATCTACGGTAACACTTTATTTTAAGGTGTCCTTGTTACCCATGTTACATGTACTTACTATTGTAATAACAATTAATTATGCACAATTACATGCAAGTAACCTTAAGCCAAACCCTAATCCTAACCCTAACCATATAGTAAGTACATGTAGTTAATTAATATTACTCAGTACTTAAATGTATAATTACACTGTAACAAGAAAACCTTAAAATAAAGTGTAACCCAATCTACCATGCATATGAAAAGTGAAACTGTGATGCAAACCACAGAAAGCAGGTTATATAGTAGCTGGAGGCTAGATGGTAAGTGTTACAGGAATAGTTTACCCAAAAATGAAAAATTTGCTGAACTTTTTCTTACCCTCAGGTCATCTATGATGTAGATGAATTTGTTTCCTCATCAGAACATTTTTGGAGAAATTTAGCATTATATCCACTTGCTCATCAATGAGTCTGCAGTTAATGGGTGCCATCAGAATGAGAGTTTAAACAGCTGATAAAAACACTACAATAATCACAGAGGTCCATCAATTAATGTCATGTGAATTGGAAATCTGTGTGTTTGTAATAAACCCATCATTAAGACATTTTTAACTTTAAACCGTTGCTTCAGTAAAATACGAGTCCCATTTGTAATACTGGTTTCTCCAGCAAAAAAGTTGTCTCGTCTGAATCAGGAGCGAAATATGTACAGAACATGCACCGCTTAAAAGTCCAAAATGGTTCAAAACAAATATGACTTTTTCACTTGAGGAAGTATTATTATTGATTATGGACTTTTTGCCAGAAGCGAAGGTTTAAAGTTAAAATGCATTGATGGATTTGTTTCTTACAAACGCAACTTTTTTGTGTGGATTTTTGTGATGTTTATATCAGCTGTTTGGTCTCTCATTCTGACGGCACCCATTCACAGCAGAAGATCCTTTGTTGAGGAAATGATGCTAAAGAGTGATGCTAAATTCCTCCAAATCTGTTCTGATGAGGAAACAAATTCATCTACTAGGATAGAAGGTAAGAGTACATTTTCAGCAAATTTCAATTTTGGGTGACTTACTCCTTTAAAAGGCTTCCCAACTGCATTGTAGCTGATAGGAGGTGAAGCCCTTTACTGCATCAAGTACAGTCCTGTGTGTGCATGTGGGGACTCCAGCACTAAATAAAAGAGAGGGATTTTTCTTGAATTGTTGCACTTTGACCAGTAGGAGGTGCTCTTGTCTTCTTGTGTATTACAGCCCTTCTTGCTAGCTCTCATTTATATGTTTTCTTCACAGGATCAACTGGCTCAAGATCCCTCTGCAATTGACATGTTCATTACGGGTAACAAAGTGCAAAAGGCTCCATTAATGCATTGCAGTTTTATCAGATCATATGAACTCTTCTCTCTCCTCTTTTCTTTTTTTCAGGTCCTAACTTTACTGAGTGGTTTACTTCCTATGTTGACAATGTTGTAACAGGAGAATACCCCATCATTCGGGACCAGATCTTCAGGTGGTCCATCTTTCATTATCTTACACAGTAATGTATGTCAGCATTTGAAATCACAAATGCCACATTACATTTTATCCCCTTTATGTTTGCTCAGGTATGTTCATGACAAGCGCTGTGTGGCAACCACTGGTGACATCACAGTATCGGTCTCTACCTCCTTCCTGCCAGAGCTCAGTTCAGTCCATCCGCCACACTTTTTCTTCACCTATAGAATCAGGTACTGCATAAATCCACACACATTATTTTGATTTTGTAATCTGAATCAGGCTATTTAAGAGCTGAGCTCTGCATGAATGCTTTCCCAGTCCTGATAAGTAATGAAAGTTTGCAGATGGTGATGAAAGTTACACTGTGATATTTTTGACTGTGATAAGGTGAAGAACTTTTTTTTTTTTTTTGCATGTAGCGTGCAATATTGACAAAAGTTATGTCCCATTATATTCACAGATATTATTGAGATTTTGCCTCTGTTACATTCAACCAATAAATTAAATTAGAATAATAAGATAATGTTACCAATCAAATGAAATCCGCATCAAAAACATAAATTTTTGCAATGCAGAAGTGGCACAGAAGCTGCATCTGAAATGGCATTTACTTACATTTACACCGACTGTTTAATGCAACTCAGAGGTAGCTTGAATGCATTTACAATTTCAAAAACAATGTTTTGTGATGTTGTTTTAATCATATATTTAATTATGAAATGATTTTGGAAAAAAAATGTAATTAAACTGCCAGTTGGCATCAAGTCGCTGTCTTAATAAGTTGATTTGTTCAGTAATTCATTCAAATGGTTTGTTCAAATGGCTAATTAATTCAGTCATTGAATCATTCATTAAACTGATTTGTTCAAACTGCTGATTCATTCGGTCATTGAATTACTCAAACTGATCAATCAAAATGTGGATTAATTCAATAATGAAGCACCCGATATGTGTTACCCTGAAAAGCAAAAGTTCTGCTGTTGTTTCAATTTAATTGTGTCTTGTAGCTCACAATGTTAACTTGTTTATTCCACTGTTTTATGAACTCAGTATGACATTTGAAATCGTGCTTTAATTTGGTAGAGAACAGCACTGTTGCTCATGTGATATTGCTTAACTATATCTTTTGGTATAAATACAAGACAAAAACTCATTGGGGAAAATCATTCTTAACAGGCAATCTACTGGCATTAAATATCACATAGTGACAGCATGCTCTCAAGGCAAGTTTTTGTTTGATTTTTGCAAAATGAGAGACATACTCAATGTCATCTTGCACATTGTTGCACATTGTCCCAGTGTCTTACCAAAAAGTAGAGATCCCAGTGCTTGATTCGTAAACCAAGTTCTTACTAAAATGATCAAGCTGCTTTCTGCTGTAACTTGCTGTAATGCAACACAGCTGTACTAAGATTTGACCTATGATGATACATTGAGCTGAACCTATGACCTCTGAGCCGTGCCGTCTTGTGCATCAGGATTGAGATGGCAAAGTCTGCCCTGCCAGAGAATGCATGCCAGCTAGACAGTCGGTACTGGAAGATCACAAATGCAAGCGGAAATGTGGAGGAGGTCCGTGGCCCTGGTGTTGTGGGTAAGAGCATATCCCTGTAAGTTGAGAGTAAATTAGAACAGCTCGCATTGGTGACACATATTTTGAATTATCAAGATGAGACATTCTGACAGTATCTTTCTGTGCATATAATTCATAGTGACAATTGCTCTACTTTCTAAAGAATGTCCTGCATCTTTTTTTTGCATATGATGTACATGCGAGTGCAGGCGAGTTTCCAGTGATGACACCCGGTAAAGTTCACGAGTACGCCAGCTGCACCACGTTTTCCACCACCTCTGAGTACATGGAAGGCCACTACACATTCCACCGGCTCAAGAACAAAGAGGAAGTGTTTGACGTTTCAATCCCACGCTTCCACATGGTGTGCCCACCATTCCGTGAATCAATGGTGCGGTCGGTGAGTCGCTATTTATATCTTTGTGTTATATCCAAGAAAAATGAATATCCAAGATGCTAATGTGTGTACATTTGTCGTTCTAAATCCCTCATTCTGTGTTTGTCTCTCTCATTTAGAGCTCAGTCAGTGAGGTGTCTGCTCCTTATGATGATGAGAATTCATCAGACCCAGATGACTATGAGGAGGGAGAAATGCGTGGCATGAACATGGCTGACCCAGGAGGACGCTGCCCTCGGCATGTCTGATGCACTTTTACATGTCCCCGGCCAACACCCGCCCACAGATACTGATGCACAACAAACTCACACAAACGGGAGAGCAGGAGGACAAACAGAGCTTTTAGGCATCCATTGTTTATTGTACAGCGCTCTTGTGCCTGTCACCTCTTGAGCGTTTTCTCCAGTTTCTGTGGCCATGTGTCTGGTTGTGGCATGTCTGTGTCTGTGCACGTCTGGACGTGTGAGATCATTGTACGTGAGTTTGAGTCTGCAAGTGTGGTTTGTGATTGAGTGAGAGTGCGAGAGTTTATTGAATGTGTGCGAGATTCTGTGAGATTGACTCTTTTTGCCTGGGTTTCACAATTACCTGCAACTTACCTAAAGGGATGGTTCAGCCCAAATTGAAAATTGGAATTTACTCACCCTTACGTTGTTCCAAATCTGTATGTCTTTCTGTCTCCTGTAGAACACAAAAGAATATATGAGTATATTTTGTCCATGCAGTGAAAGGAGTCCATTGTTGTTTTGAACCCACTGACTTTAAATTTATGGACCAAAACAGTTTTTCTTCAAAATATCTTCGACAGTAGACATGATTGGTAGAAGTAAGACCATCAAACAGGTTCGGGATGACATGGGGGTGAGTAAATGATGACAAAAAAAATTCATTTTTGCCTGAACTATCCCTCTAAAAACTTACAATTACAGAGCACGAGTAGAAATTATGACACTACTATTAGCAGAAAAGTACACGCACACTGAATTGGGAATACTCGCTGTGTGTGTGTGTGTATA